ACCAGGTAAGATCCCTGATATAACTAAATTCTCACCAGAAAGGAGCACAGTTACTGTTTTCGAGGATCTATGTGCCGAATCAAAAAAGATTCAAGATCGGATTATTCATTATTTTATTAGTGGTCGGCATTCAAACATAAGCCCAATATACGTAAGCCAGAAATATCAAGCTGTACCAAAGATAATTCGCGAGAATCTGACACATCTTGCAATCTTTAATAATGGGGGAAGCAGAGAAGATCTCATTCGAATTGTACGTCAATACGCAGATGATCCAAAAAAAGCATCTAAGATTATTGATAAGCATTTGCGGGATCGAGATTTCGTGGTCTTTGATTTTACTAAACCGGTGGGTGATTCTCTCGCAATTAGATTGGGATGGGACACGCCATTGAAATTAGATGAATGAGACGCATATAATGTATACCCCACGTATTGTTTATTATGCTCAAATTGGAAATCATGATAAAAATTTCAGTGATTGCACCATATTTCATTTTCACGTAAATGGATTTTATGTTACATGAGTGTATTAAATCTTTATATACATATAAAAGCCATTGAATGGTGTATAAATTACATGACAAAATTCATAAATCAAATTATTCTTTGGCCTTTCTTGTACGAGTTATGCGACCGTGTTCACAAATTGAATAGTCCATGGCACATGTTGATGTTCGTCGGAAACGATATAATTTTGCCTTTTCGGTTAATATTTCATTCCGGATTTTTCGTATACGATGCAAAGTTTCCTATATCAAAAACGAAGGATGATTAGAGATTTACAAACATAAAATGTAATTACTGAGTAAATAACGATACTTTACCTCAATACGCATCAAAGATATAATAAGTTTCTCTATAATTTGCAAATTTTCAGTTGATAAAGGTAGCTTAACTTTTTGAAGCAAACCTATACGCCAAACACCTCTTGTTTTCCAATCCAATCCGTATATGTTATAATTATAATCTAAAATCAATAGGTCGGGTTATATATTAAGAACATACCGAAGATAATTAAGAACATTTAACTTACTAAATGTGTGTACTCCTAAGGTAAAAAGTTTGTGGAATTTTTCTGGTTTTACGCCGTTATTTTCTATTCCTTCGTTTACCAACACGTCCCGTAACGCGACCGATAGATCCACCTTATCCATCCATTTCTTGCCTTTCGGTGATGTGGGAAGGCCACCGGATCTTAATCCAATCAACACTTCAAATTGATCTTTGCTAACTCTGAAGTCTAC